ATATATATATATAGATAGATATAGATATATAATATCAACAATCTAATAGATGACAGCAAAAGTAAAAGCTATAACTTTTAATGCATTTCTAAATGATTTGAACACAAAGTCCATGTTAGTTTTCTCTTTTGTGGGCATTTTTTATACATTTAGGATGACAGCCCGAGATACTTAGTTTTTAATTTCTTGAGCTTGAAGTTATATTTTATGTTTTTGAACTTTCACATAAAAAAACATTCAAAAGTCAAATAGTACGATGTCCTACGAGTCCAAAATAAAAAATTCATATTTTTACTAATCCCTAATAAAAACTGAAAAACAGATCATACATAGCAACCTTTGAAAAATGAGCGCACTAGTGATTAGCCATCAGTGCCAAAGAATGGAGGCAGTGCTAATCCAAAGATGGAAGGAGATTAATTCTTTCTGATATCAGGCAAATTTATTGCAGTTTTTTGTTAATATATGTTTTGTTTTTCTTTGTTAACCGTAGGCAGACAAAAATGGACTGGTCAAACGAACAGGCCCATATAAAATGCTGATATAAAAGATGTGAGGCAGCTACACTGCTATGCTGCTGTGGTTTGGGTCCATGAAACACCTCAGAGGGAAGACTCATTGCAAATCCAAAGTTTTTGTGACTGATCACAAAACTTCACGACTCCATCTAGATGTCGTGAAGGCTCACTGAATCAAAAACAAGCTCAACTTTGTACACTTTCTAATCAGAGTCAGTTAATCTTAACTTCAATCACTTTCAGCTGCTTTGGTATTAATAAAATTAACAGGTGCACTAGAGGGGGAACAACGAGACGATTACAAACAGACTTCATGAGGGCAGCCTGAGGACCCGGCGTCCTCTGTGGAGCCCGATCGGCATTTGCTTTAGAAGACCAGAGTTTGATGGTCCACTACTGGTGCCCTGTGCTTTTTATAGTAAAGTTCCAGAGATATAAAGTCGTTGAGGAATAAGGGTGTCTTGGCAGCACCCTAATAACATGTTTTTTTTCATGTTTTAAATTTCTCATCTATCGTTCAATCGTTCACTTTCTTTTCTTTTCCAAATAAGTTGACTAACGTAACAAATGTTTTCACTGAGATTTTAACTTCGCAACACCCGGGTTTCCAGGTTTCTAGGTGTGGAGTCAGTGTTAGAATGCATTTTAGCCACATGATAAAAAAGCATTTCACAAACTATGG